TAGGACCACTCACACCGTATTGGTATATAGTACCCTCAGACAGTGCCACACTCAACTGTAGTATATAGTAGCGGTATGTAGTAAAGAGTTCGTTTCAAAGGGTCCATCTAATGCTTGAGTTGATACCTTTTTAGGACCACTCACACCGTATTGGTATATAGTACCCTCAGACAGTGCCACACTCAACTGTAGTATATAGTAGCGGTATGTAGTAAAGAGTTCGTTTCAAAGGGTCCATCTAATGCTTGAGTTGATACCTTTTTAGGACCACTCACACCGTATTGGTATATAGTACCCTCAGACAGTGCCACACTCAACTGTAGTATATAGTAGCGGTATGTAGTAAAGAGTTCGTTTCAAAGGGTCCGTCTAATGCACTCAAATTGACTTGCTTCGTACCCCATTAGTGTACTGCACATTATGTGTAGTAATGTGTATGCACCCGACAATGACAGTGCAGCTCTAGGGAAGCGGGCAATAGAGAGTTAACCTAACTGGGTTGGTGATTGATGTGTGTGCTATATTATTATACCGATTCTAATTATGCCGCACATGCATGGACATTGCACGTGGTAAATGTTGTTCACTCTATGGACCGGTTGTAATTCATTGCCCCACTTGCATTCTAAATCTCGGAAGGGGACTCCATATAATATTCATTGTCTTTCTCCATCAAATAGTGATGCATCTGCTTGTCATGTGTTACTGGTTGTGTGTGTCCACAGGACATCCAGAGGAAGGAGAGGATGACTCAGCCGGGAGATGACTCTGGGGAGGAGGGAGAACATTCTGGCTCTTTGGTCAGCCCCGCCTTCTCTCTCCCACACTCACTATACTTACTGTTACATATGTACCTTCCCTTAAGATGTATACTATCCTCCTCTACCTACATATGTATGTATGCTGGAGGCAGAAACACAGCAAAGAACTGTAGGAATGGTTTTAATTGCGAGTTTTTTGAAGCTCGCAATTATTAGTTATGTAGACTTGCAAAAATGTTCTATTCAGAGCCCACTCTATGCACTTAACCCCACACTGGCAATGGAGTAGTAAAATACATATGCAAATGCAATTTTTGGACCACGCATTTATGACCAGTCCTATGGCATGTACTTTCTCAGAGGCTTTGTGGACATTTTTCCAGACTCTCAATCCTGTTTGTAATGACGCATGAACATCATAATTATGTACTTTACTTCCTGTGCAGCGGTCGGCACCGTTCCTGCTGACTCCCCACACTCAGGCTCAGTTTGGGAAGATGAACGAAGACTTTGACAGCATGCTCCAGAGAAACCAGATTCTCCTCCCCGTGGCCGTGCGTACCTCCCCTCTCTACCACCATTAGAACCTTGCGTGTGTCGTTCTTTAACCTCAAAATACATACATGACCGTTTCTCCAAATGCCGTGATAGTATCCAGGCAAAACCTTCTGCTTGCTTCTCTCTGCCACAACAAGCAATGTTTTGAGAGAGATTTGTACGCCAAAGTAATTCCACTACCAGTCTGTGTGTCATAGTTTATGGTTCAGTGTTAGTGTGTCCACGGAAGTTTTACACGATGACTTGTAGTGTAGGCTGTTCTCTCTCACTGCATGCCGTCCCACAGGACCAGCTGACTGGAGCTGGGGTAGGGGGTGGAGAAATGAACGTGGTCAGGGAGAGAGGTCCTCCGCGAGTGATGCCAGTGACTGTCCCAGTCACCCAGTCTCCGGGAACCGTCAACACACAGATCGCTCAGGTAGAGCAACTGTGCACACATACAAACGTAGCTACTTATGTACATACAGTGTAACAGGAGTTAATGACGGCTACTCTTTGAATCCTGAATCGTGCAGCTATTTTTACTAAAACAAAAGTGGTAGTCAAAGCGAGTATCTGAATTTATCCAAAGGACCATGGGCCCTATACCATGTGTTTTCAGGGCAATCCCTCTAATGGTGCACCGGCACATACTGGTAATGTATACAAGACACACAAAAATAAGTGCAAAATATTCAACTGCTTATTTCACTTGCAAAAATGCGTTGAATTTCTCTAGTTATTTGTACACTTGTCGTCATCTGGTGTCCCCTCTCCCTCAACAAACGCAGCACCTGGCACAGCAGATGGACGCGAGAGTGATCACCTCCTCCTCGGCCGCAGCTAGTGGCAACTCCAGTGGCTCCGCCGCCAGCAGCTCTGGCACCATTTCTTCCCTCATATCCCCCCAGAGGTCAGACTTCAACCACACCCCCTTCTTCATTACCCCAACACAGTTTTGCTGAGCTATTGTCCTTAGAAAGAAAGAGCTGTCCAGGGTGTAGTTGACTTGTTTGCTTTGCCTACGTATCTATCCTTTCTACCTTTTTATTGACCACATGATATTTGCATATATATATATGTGTATTGACAGGAAAGCAGCATCGTCAAGATATTAATCACGTAATTGAGATGATGAGTCTTACTCGCCATAACAATTGTGCAGCCTTCAGACCCTAAATATGTTCAGTACAAAACTTTCACAGATATCTTGACCTGCACTAAAAATGGCCCCATCCACAAAAACAAACTGTTCAAAAACCCCGATATCTGCTCCTTTATTCCCTCAAACCTCAAATGTTTCCTGCTGTACGTTAACTGTACTACTGAACTTTGTGTGAATCTCTCTCAGTGATATGTCGGCCAGTCCAGTGTTTGCCAAGAGTCTAAAGTCACCTGCCGCCATGCCACCTCCTCTGGGGACACCAACTAGACTTCAGACTCTGAGGAACCAGTCCCTCAAACTGCACCTCCCTGGCAGTGGACGCAGCTACATCTCACTAGGTACGTAAGCATGCCTTGTTCACTTCTCACGGTGTGAATGTCCTCTACTGTTGTTGTCGACCCACAGGTAGTGGAGGTAGCACCAGTCCAGGTGGGAGGAGAGGGAGAGATGGAGGAGACGGAGATGAAGGGGCGGGCCCTGGTACTAAGCCACACCTACGTGTCAAGATCCCCGGGCAGAAAGGCTTTGTACCCAGAACTGTAAGTTTGTTAGATAGTAATGTTTGTATATACAACTGTAAATGTTGCTGTCCCACCATTACTCTCATGGTCTCTTATAACATTTTATAACTTCACTCCCACACTATGTACCATAATAATATTATGTGCGTGCTCAGCATTATGCTGTGTGCCATTTTGTATATGTACATAGAGCGGTTTTTTTTCAGATTGACCGCCGTGTTTGGACTAGTATAAGGCATCTTTATTACTTTGTTTTGTATTTCTTCTCTCTTGTGTGCCTGCAGCAAGCCATCTCGCCACTGCCTCAGATGGAACTAACTACGGCTGCCATTTCCGGAGCCAAAAATACCACTACCACTACAATGAATGCGCAACAACGGTCCGACAAAGACGGCCCCACACAGACCACGAACGCCGGTACCACACACACAGAATCCCTTACCACACCGGTTCTATCGTTGGCCACGCCCAACCTCCTGAGTGCGCTCCCTCCGCCGCTATTCTCCGGCCTCAGCGGAGATTTTCCATTCAGTGCATTCATGAGCGGTGGTCTCGGTAGTGGTACCAGTGGAGGGGGTGGGGGTGGGGAACTTTCGTCTGCTTTGGTCGCATTCCCCGTGAGCATCCAACCGTCGTCGACAAGCGGTGGCAACTCGTCCGCGGGGAACATAGTCCTCCAGGCGCAAAACATGGGGCAACCATTTCTCCTGACTCCAAACGTGGATCCTCGACAGAATCCCTTACTCTCGCAAACCACCTTCACCCCTCCCCCCTCGTCGTCGTCACTGAGTCCAAACGTGAGGGACTTGGAGCAGCTCAAGCATCAGTACGAGAGAGTACAGCAGCAGCTCCTGCAGCAACAACTGTTCATTTCCCAACAACTGCACCATCAACAGCAGCAGATTCTGGGAGGAAAGGAGGGGGGAGGGACCGGAGCAGCGAGGAAATCGACTCCTGTACCTCCGAGTAAGGAAGGCTCGAGCCAACATAAGGATACTGGTACTTCTGGGGGAGGAGATGGGGGAGAGAGGCCAAGGACACAGCTGCAAACCATGTCACCTTCCCTCCGGGACGGACAGGAAGACATGGACACAGGGGAGAGTGTTGGGACACCGCCGAAGAGACGGAGAGTTGAATCTTCTCCAGATGAGCAGCCCACTTCTGTCTAGACGACACCACTTCCCAGCCAGCCCCTCTTCCTTCTTTCACACCCCACCCTCTCTGTCCTTTCTTTAATTCTCCCCGCTCTCACTTGCAGAACTCAATTTATATAGCAACATTACGGAACAATAGCCCCTTTTTGTATTGTTCATTGTACAGATATACAATGCAAACCGATAACTGATGTGATACATGCATATTATATAACTCAGTGAAATAAAAATAATATCGAATGTGTGTATAATTAGTGTAAAAGCTATATGCAGGTGGAGAGTCCATGTGTACATCAGACGACTACTTCTTGCAGTGTGCAAGTTTCGGTAGCCGTCTTCATTGAGAGCACAGCCCAACACACCTGCACAATAATAATATAGAGGAATAGCTTCTCAGTTTCATTACATGTTTGCACACAGAATCACTATGGGATGTCATAAGTTTTCTTGGCCAAACTCGAACTACAATTATACTAACTCTACACTCACTGGGTGTGTGCAGGCTGTGCCAGGGACTCCACAGGCATATACAGCTACCAAGAAGGGTGGTTGCCTAACACATGGGAGGTCTACTGTCAGGAAACGTCAACACACTGGCTAGCAGTAGCGGGAGCAATGGATTCCTCCGGGGCAGTTTAATCTTCCGGAGCCTGTGGAAGCAAAACGAAGACACAGTTGCCACTCCACTCGCGCTCTGACTTTTCAAACCTTAGGCTCTGTTTGTCATCGACCTCCTTGCTGCTAGTGACGGTGGTGGTGGTATCTGACGAGTCCGGTGGTGGAGTTTTCTCCCCGGCCTTATCGTCCTCCTGTGTCTTGTCTTTTTTGGCGCCCTTGAACCAGTCCACAAGTGGTTTTATCACCGCCCTCCATAGCAGGAGGCCCAGCGGGACCACTATACACGTTAGTCAGACCATGCCCTACAGGCCTACACTGGCTGCAGAAACTCGGCAAACTGTTGATCGACGAGGCCGAGGGAGAGCCGGAGCGTTTCTTTCTCTAGCTAGCTCTCGCGCAGATCCCGTGATCGACCACGCCCCTGCGTGCGATTCTTTCATCGCACGCATGCGCACACTTTTCATTTATTAACCCTCGGCGCGCATGCGCAGCGAGGGTTACAGTTAGTCGTCTTCTGTCTGTCGATTCTGGCATGGCACTACAGACTACGAGGCGGCCCATTAGCGATACCAGCGGATTCAGAACTACGGGAGCCTGAAAACTCCTGGTTCGAGAGATATGCCGTGAAAACAAGCAAATCGCACTGGGCTTACCGCGACCTGATCCGCTCGCTCTGTGTACCTTGGGGGCTCAGGAAGTCACAACCAATGGCATATATCGACTCCCGCATGCTATCTACTACTGTAGCTAGCCCGTGTCTGACTCGCCGCGGCGGAAGACCAAGAGTCAAATAGCCGGCCCAGCCCCCATCAATTAGCAGTATCGCGCATGCGCAGTTCGCCGAGGGTTTGTCACAACGTACGTCGACGTCGAGGGCCGATGACTGAAGGTAAGATTGTTTGCTAGAAAGTGCATTGGACCCGAGTTGTCTATACAGCCCCTGCAGCCGCCGCCGACACGCTAACACCGGACGATGCGGTGGACGTGTTGGAGGAGCTACTGCCAGCACAGAACAAGTCCTACGAGCTGGGGCTCAAGTTGAAACTGCAACAACACGTCGTGGAGGCCATCCATGATACATATTCCAAGCCACGCAGTCGCCTTCTCCACGTTATTATCGGGTTTACCAACCAAGTAGAGCCCAGACCGACATGGAGGGTGATTGTGAAGGCTCTGAGAAGTCGAGTGGTCGACCTACCGGCACTAGCTAACACGGTGGAAGCAGCTTATTGTCTAGTCCCTGCTCGTTCTTCTGCAACCTCTGTGTCCCCGGCGAGTATTGAGGATGAAATAGAAAATCTTGAAGATAGGTTTTTACAGCTCACATGCGAAACACGAGCAACGCTTTCTGACAGAGAGAAGCAAGATAAAAGCTTTCTGCAGAGCTTCTCTGATTTTATTCTCAATATTTCTGTTGCCAAGAAAGTTGTTCATGTAAAATTTTTTCATCAGAATGAAGATGAAATCCTGAAAGCTAAAAAATATTCAAAGTTTGTTTGCCATAATTGGCCGTTACTGCAACTATTGCAACTATGAGATAATCGTGCATATCATCGAAAGATTCGGTGATGCTAAATTGAACGGAAAAATCATGATGTACTGTGATTCAATAAAGAAATTTGAAACCGGCACAACAGTCGCCGTCTACCTTCATGCCATTTCAGGTCTTCCAGATAGCAACGCCTGCAAGGGGTTCATTCAAATGGCGATGAAAATCAATAAGCCAACATCCGTGTGCACAATGCATGAGATCCGACAGCTAAAGGAAAGCATTGCGGAAAAGGCATCCGTTTACTCCCACTGTCTGTATATGGAGAGTGTCGCTAAAGGATCGGTAGTGGTGCAGTTGCGTGTACATCCTGACTGCTCACAGATGGTTTTCGATGCCATTACAAACAGCACATACCAGACTGATGTCACAGTTGTAAAGATCTCAGATAATGGTAATTGTGAGTGAAACAAGCATAGCTATAGTATCATCCCATATACAAACAGCATGATAGCCCTATTATTTTAGCCATTTCCACCTGGTTGCAGCAGTATCATCCCATTACAGCTTCAATAGTGCATACAAACAGCATATTTTAGCCATTTCCACCTGGTTGCAGCAGGAGAAGAATCTATGTATACACCACTTGAAAGAGGTGAAATGGAAGAATCTGTATATTATACGAGTCGCATATCAGAAGAAAGTAAGTACAAATTGTGGTATATATCATGAGACATAATGCACTGTGTGTCAATCTTCTTACTGCAACAGCTTATACCTACGCAAGTGTCACTCCTGCAGCAAGTGAGTGATAGTAGCAGTGTATGGTGTGTACATAGTTGCTGTCTTCCATAGACAAATGTGAATCATGCCATCAACTTAATCTCAAGAAATCAGTGTTAGAGAAAGTGGTAAAGGTTCTTGAATCGCCAACAGTACGGGAGATGGAATTAGCCCAGCAAGTAAAGAAAATGCTGCTGGAGCCAATAGCTGGCGATGAGGCAACCAGACCACATAGGAAATGGTCTGTTTTAGCTTGTGTTTTTTAAGTGTGTACTGTATTCGTGCAATTTCAGGGAGGTGCGGCAATCACTCCCTCTCCCTCCCTCCCTCCTTTCTGCCCTCCCTCCGTCCCTCCCTCCACGCCGCCCCATTCCAAAGCCCAGGTCCAAGTCTAAGGCTCCAGTTTCTTCTGACTCACACACTGTCAAGGTACATACTGTATTATGATTTGTGTTCTTGAAGCCTCTCACTCTCCTCTTTCTTGTAGACAATAAAGGACTTTGAGTTCCTTGTGGTTCTAGGCAAAGGGACATATGCAAAGGTAAAGTTAGGTCTGCATCCACTGTTGGTTAGCTCTCTTCTTTTTCTATATACAGGTAATGATGTGTAAGGAGAAGGCAACAGGAGAGATACTGGCCATGAAGATACTCAATAAGGGTGTGATAGTGGCCAAAGATAAGATCACCCACACTGTAACAGAGAGAAAAGTTCTCCAGATGACATCATCTTATCATCCTTTCCTCATGGTGTGTACATTAGACTCCTCCCCATTCACACTAGCTACCTCTCTCTCCTCCTCTCTGTAGAGTCTCAAGTACTCATTCCAGACACCAGACCGATTGTGTTTAGTGACAGAGTACATAAGAGGAGGAGAACTGTTCCACCACCTGTCCAGAGAGAGAGTATTCCCAGAGGGCCACACCAGATTCTATGGAGCTGAGATAATTCTGGGAATCCAGTACCTCCACAGCGTAGGAGTGGTCTACCGACACGTGAAGGTTTGCGTAACTCATTACCTACTTCAACCCTATAACCTATTGATTTCAACGACAGCTGGAGAGCCTGATGTTGGATGAGAAGGGACACATCAAGATCATAGACTTTGGACTCTGCAAACAAGGAATCTACTTTGGAGACACCACTAGAACCTTCTGTGGCACTCCAGAGTACATGGCTCCTGAGGTGAGTGTGGTCTTTTACCTCGGCTGTACTGTCATCTGATGAATAAACTCTGACTCCAGATTCTAGAAGGCAATGACTATGGACGGGCAGTGGATTGGTGGGGAGTGGGTGTGGTTATGTATGAGATGATGTGTGGGCGACTCCCATTTTATTCCCGAGACCATGTGGTTCTTTATGAGCTCATTTTAGTAGTAAGTCAGGGGAGAAGAGTATGTATGATGGATCACGTCTTGGCCTGCAGGAAGAGGTAAGGTTTCCAGCAAGTCTGTCACTGGAGAGCATGTCTCTACTCGGAGGACTACTTCAGAAAGACCCGAGCAAAAGGTTGGTTTCAGATATATAGAAGAAAGAGGTTACGAACTGAGATTTGTTTACAGACTGGGTGGAGGAGAGGGAGATGCAGAGGAGGTCAAGTCTCACGTGTTCTTCAAGTCCATCAACTGGGACGATGTCTGCAAGAAGAGGATCATTCCTCCCATTATCCCCGTCATCAAGTCAGAGACAAGTACTGACTACTTTGAAAAGGAGTTTACTGACGAGAACCCTGAACTGACACCTCCACCTGATGAAGGTATACACCACTCTACTCCTGACCTTTGCCCTCTCTCATCCTCTTCTTCCAGGTCCTCCCAAGGATTATGGTGACCTATTCAAAGATTTTTGACTTTGTATATACACATTTGTCACGATAGAAAGGCCATTGTGTAGAGAAGATTATGATACCATTCACCATTCTTTTGTGCTGTTAGAACAAAATGGGTTTTCACACACACCCACCATTACACACACACATGGACACACTACATTCATGTCGTCCCCCGTCCACGTGCCACGTCCTGGACCATGGGATTCTCTGGTGACTTCATCCACTCCTTTCTGAGCAGCTGCTTCAACTGAGACATCCTGAGAGTCGGGTTTTCCGCCTTCAGTCTCGGCATCTCCCGCTCTTCAAACGCCGAAAATGCAAGCTTCATCCTCCTCTCCGGGTGTTTGTCCTCCGCAGTCGTTCCTCCGAGGACGGCGATGGCCTCGTCGACAGTCCTGGCCTGTACCTCCCCCGATCGCTGTCTCTCTAGCTCCAGGAGGTTGGGATTCTGTTCCAGAGGCTGAGGCTCACCCAGTCCTCTCGAAGACCCTCCTCCGCTAGCTCCCTCTCCCGGCTGCTTCTCCTTCTCCCTCTCCTGCACACAACAGTGGGAGGATATGCACCCTTGGTCCGCCATAACATTGATGCCGAACCCTTTACTACACATTAATGGACAGCACTGTCGAAAAAATATCGTGCCAATTCAGATAACTACCTTCATTTACCAACTATATACTTTATGATTCTAACCTCCCACAACACACACACAAGAACATTGAAGTGCATCACCCACACACCACACAACAGTAGTAAGGCAGTCCTACATATTAAATAGATGGCCTAATTTTCTCGTACTTTTAGCAAGAATGTGAGAGGAAGGACAGGCTACCCAATCGTTCAGAATACCCCGGCTATAGCTGGAGAGTGCAGTGTAATAAACAGCAGCTTGTGAGTTTTGTGGATTAACTATAGGAGTCATACGATTGTTGCTCACGATTGTAAAGTATTATGGCCTTTCACAGAAGCATGGACCTTATGCTAAACGTCATGCTACAGCTGCAAAGCGCTTGCAGCTCAAGCTAACAGCCAATCTGCAGTCTGTACGCTAACAGAATGCTGCCAAACATGCACTATCATGTGGTGTTACCTTGCTTTCCTGGATCTGTGCACGAGTGACTTTAGTGGAAGATCCGCCTCCCTTGGCCGATCCTTTCAGAGTCTGTTCCTCCTCCTCCAGCAACTTCTGGTTGGCCAGTTTCTTCTCCAGCTGCTCCACTCTCTTGCTCTCCTTATGAGACTGAACACACACACACACAACCCTTTCAGTTGTCCATCTAGTGTACGCTTTTCCTTTACATACTTAGTCGCATAATAAAACCTAGCTAGATTTGCTGCGTCTAGTGTACTTGCTTTTCCTTTACATACTTAGTCGCATAAAACCTTGCTAGATTTGCTGCAAAACAGGGGCTTACTTTTCTATCTTGTTTCCTGGCGACATGTTTATCGTCGTCTCTCCAGGCGGTATCCTCTTCCTCCCGCTTCCTCTTCTCGTCAGCCGCCTCCTTGGAAGCCGCCTTCCGCGCCTTAGCGTCTTGCGCCTTCGTGTTCTCTCCCTTGAACTTCTTGGGCATGTTCGCGCTTGTTTACATTTCCCAATTAGTGCCCGCCAAGTTACACGAGGGTGGGAGCGCAGAGAAGATGCGCGTTCTTCCACTGTTCCTTAGCCGATGGTCCTCTCTTCGGTACTTCTTCTCTTCGCTACTAAGACACCAGACGGTAAAGCTGCATTCATGTTTAGCCAGTGGAGCCCCTGCATCTACCAGTAGAGACCTAGTAGAGTCTAACACCAAGGAAAAAGACTGTTCCGAGAGGCGGCCTACTAATAACAGTGAAGCTCCTCAGGGGAAGAAAGAAGGGCCGTGGAGACCTCTGAAAAGACTGAGTCGGGAGGAGATGAACCACATGAGGTCGCTCAAGGAGCTCCAGCCTGAGGAGTGGACCAATGGGAAACTGGCAAGAGTGTTTGGGGTGAGCGGCTCGGCCGTGAGGCGGATTCTGAGGAGCAGGTTTGAGCCGAGCAGTGAGGTGGAGGCGAGACAGGAGAGGAGGGCAGAGGAGCTGAAGAGGATAAGGAAGGAGAGACTGTCGGCTGGTGTGCACACTACTCCAAGACTAGGTCAGTCTCAGCCTGAACACTAACTTTATCAGAAACTTCACAAATCTCTGGGAGGTGGACATTTTTGGAGCAGGGTTTAATTATATTGTGAAAATGGCATGTTTTCTCCCTCCGAAAGTTTCCCAATTTGCTTATATAGCTATTGCTTGTGAGTGTTTAAATACAGTACACCTATATTATAAATCATGGTGAATGATGAGCTGACATTTTAACCTGTGACTTATAAAAAGGCTACAAAGGTCCCTTATGAAGACTGCTGTGTCCTGGGAGGGGTGGAAGGTGAGGGTGTGATGAGTGAGGAGGTGATGAGGAGGGAGAGGAGGACGGAGGTGTGGGTGACACCCAGGAAGGCAGCCTCGTAGAGCAACCGAGGACTGAACACTCCCCACACCATCAGGTGTCTTCTCTGGAGAGAGGCTGTCAACATAGTCATCAGGGTCTGCAGGGGATCAAGGAATGGCTGATGTATGTGCAAATACCTACTATGCAGTGTGAATTGGCAACCTGATAACACTGGGCTGTATACTATTTCAAAATTTTGCCGGAAAGGACAGGGCCTTGGCGATTATGGGCTAAATTGCTCGTACTTTTGGCAGCAAGCCGGGAAGAAGAAAAGGCGAACGAACGATTTTGAATGCCTTGTCTATAGCTGGAGAGTGCAGTGATAAAGGGATATTTGGGAAATAGGGTGGCGCTAGAATTATAGAGTAGGTAGAATAACTCGAGGGCTAATTATGTCATCACCTTGAAAGAGTGAAAGAGAATGTATTGAAGAGCGGTCGTCAGTAGAAGTCTGTTGGTGGGAGTTTTACTCACAGACAACGACAGCGGCAGCAGAGGTAATAGACCCAGACCCAGCAACACCTGCATTGAAAAAGGTTTTAAACCTTGATTTGGTCCTCAAAAGGTTGGTAGATTGTGAGAAACACTCGAGGAAGGGAGAAGTTTAATTGGAAATGTGAAGAGTTTCAGATGCACCAAAACATGGAGCCTCCCAAATGTTTGTGCAAGATTTTATAGAGTCCTATACACTCATAATACACAGCCTTAACTGCTAAAAATGATCTAGCGTGCCTAAAACACTCCATTGATTGGTTCACTCATAAACGCAAGCATCGCGTTATATTACCTACTGAGAGCGGAGTCACAACAAGCAGTCACAGACTACAACAAAAACACACACTCCATTCACCTCTATACTAGAATGAATGAACTACAAAGGGTGTCGAAGACTCACTTGCGAGCCAAGCATGTTGAACCCGACAAGCAGGCCAGCAAACAGCAGATAGAACCCCGACATCTCTCCACGCAGCCCCACAAAGCCCGCATCAAACCGCAGACTGGTGACCGTGGCATGGTGGGCAAACCCAAAGAAAGACTGACTGCTTGTCAGTCCCCACAGAACGACAACAGGCCACGAGCGCTCTGTAGAGACACGGAGGGTGAGGGAGGGGACAGGGTAATAATTGTCCGGAACATGTGTAAGCCACAGAGAAATGCACTCAGGTGATCATACAATATTGTTATTCAACAGTGTCTATCTAAGCATTGTAAAAACTTAAGCACATCAATGTTTGCTGGTTGAAAACCTTTGTAAGTGACAAAAATGGATTGTATATACACAGAGCGGAGTCAGAAGCTATATAGAGCACATGAGGGGCTGACCTTGACTGTGGCAGAGTCCAGAGAGGACCAGGTAGACCTGGAGAGCCAGCAGGACAGCAGAGAGGGCCACTCCATCGTTGAGAACCATAGCCAGAGGGAGCCACAGTGCCACTAACACTGGGACCATCACCAACTGTACTGATACTGGGAGACTCACCACCTCTCCACCAACCCTCTTCAAACTAACATCTTCAACTTTCTCCGACTCAACATCTTGAAGTTTGAAACCGTCACCTTTCTTCAAGCTAGCAGTATCACCTCTCTCCAAGCTAGTCATCATAACCTTTCTTCAAGTTAGGGTCGTCAACTTTTTTCGAGGTAACATCAGGTGTGTTCGTATTAGCAGTTAACCTTTGTCTGACAGTTATTTCACTTCTGAGTCTCCTGCCATCACCACTTGGTAAGTTGCTTTGTTTCACACTATCTCTTTCCCTACTACTGCTACTTTTCCTCAGTGGAGCAAAGATAGACACTCCAATAGTAGATAGAGATATAGTGTACACTATTCTAGGGAGGGACACGTGCTGCCAGTGAGGTAGAGAGTCAAGAATAGGCTGTGGGAGACTCTGAATAAGCCAGAACCCACACACGCACAGTGAAGACAGAGGTAGACCCAGGTACACACAGACCTGCCGCAGAACTCCTAGTTTCCCAGAGTGTCCATTGTATCTGACCCACCAGGCGAGAGCTAGAGGGACACCCACAACACCGAGACAGGAGAGGGCAAGGCGAGTGTCTGCTAGAGCACCCAGGGTCTCAGCTACTCCGTGATACGGCTGGATGAACGAGGTCGCCTCACACCCTACTCGCAGGTCCCGACAGGCATGGAAAGCCTTTGTCAGTCTAACTAGTACCATAGCCACCACTAGAGGCCAGACCTCGCTCAGAACTAACCTCATCGAAAATTTTTTCTCCAAGAAAATGTTCTCCTCTTTTTTGCCACTTGATGAAGATGGTATTACAGGGATATACTCTCCACTAAGGGACTGTGCTCTCTGTACCACAAAGCATATCAGCATGGACTGCAGAAAAAACACTGTCATATCTCCTTCGTAGAGAATAAAACTGTTTGAAGCAAGCGATACACCACAGCCGATAGCCACCACTGCTCCAAACACATAGGTGAATGACAGCCGACTGAAAAACAAGAAAACCTGCTCGAAAACGTATCTCTCCTTGACAAGTGTGTACATAATATGGTGGCTGAGGAGTAGGAAATGGAGGACCACATAAAGCAGTAGTGGATAGAAAGAGAGCGAGAGAGTCACGTTCATGATACTAGCAACACCAAACTCCAGTGGTAAAGGATAAACTACCATACTTACTAGAGAAAGCGAGACACCAAGTAAGAGAGAAAATTTGAAACTCTTTCCAAGACTCGCCACTGAAAAGTCGAGGTCAAAGAGAGAAAGAAGCGTCAGGAACACGGTGAAAGAAAAGAGGACGACCCCCTGATTAATGTGAAAATCGTCGAATTTAGCCCACACGTTGTGGCACATTGTCTTCACCTCCCTCATGTAGTGTATGTAGTGACTTGCAACCGTACTCAGATCCTCTTGGCTGGGTCTAGGGTGGGCTCTTAGCTCCCTGTGGAGTCTCTGGGCTGTGGTGAACTTGTTCTGGAGATCGACGTACACGTCGGATGGGAAATCCTCCGAGTGCTTGATATAGGTTTTGAGATACGTCTGCATTTGCTCGCGTTTGCTTGTAATAAGTCAAGAAACTCCAGGGTCGCCCTCCCATTGTAGCCATCATTGCTACTGTTGTCTTCCTGTCTATCAGCGGTGGTTCCTGCTGACTCCCAAGGCAGGAACACCTCGGGAATGATCATTCCCAGGTTTGAGAATGGAATAGGGATCCCTAGCAGGAGGGACACGGTGGGGACAATGTCTATCTGGTAGACGGGTCTTCCTGTGTCCTGTGTGCGAGCAACAGCAAAGCAATAGTAATTGGTTTGAGCTGTCTTTGGACCTGAAAGGACACCTATTCAGTACATCACTATAGGTCTTAACCTGCGCATGTGTGAAATCAAGTTCACGTTATGCATACGGTACGTTCACATACTGTAGTTCTATGCATAAAAATCCGTTGGAATACATTTTGCGTTCGCTCGCCAATAGTGTCACATGTTTAAGTGTATACAATACTCGGGTATATACCTGTATAGGAGGGAAGAGGGGGGAGGGTGTGAAGACAAGGAGAGCAGCAGTGGTCTCCAGCTCAGTCTCTCCTCCGTGATCACCTGACGTCGTCATCCCGTGGTCCCCAAACACAAACACTACCGTATCCTCATCCACACCAGAGAATATGGACCTGCACACGTGATAAACGGTTTCGCAGTGGTGGCACAAACAAATTTGCTGCAAGAACTGCCAGTCAATGAATGACAAACTTGCAGGGAACCATACAGTGTGTAAGGAAAGGACTAATCGTGGGTTTTTCAGAGCTATGTACTACACTGTAGCTTGGAAATTTTAGAGGGAGAATCTTTGGTTTGGAGCTTTTTCTGTGAGTTTCTGTGAGAGGGGACATTTTACAATGCAGGACAGGCATTATTTTCTCACAACGTTTGCGATCAAAAGTTTTCTGCCTGGAAGTTTTCCACTTTTATACAATAAGACTTACTGAAGGACATCATTCATCTGAGACAGTTTCTCGCCCATGGTCCAGTGGGTGGAGCCGTAGGTGTGGCCGACGTGGTCCACGCCCAGGAAATGCCCCACCAGAAACTCTGCATCACCTCTCTTTAGCTCCGGTCCCACGTGATCGATACGCCGTTGTCCACCGTGTGAAGATCTTTCACGTTCAGAGAGGGATAGTCGAAAACCCTCGTGAGCATCCCTTCGTACAGCCCCAGCCAGGTGTCGTCACCTATAAAGGTGAGGTTGCGTCCGTTGGCCTTCATCTGGTGAGGAAGACTGTCCTCGGTGATTTCGTGGCTGTTGAAGTTGCTGCCAATGTCGATAAACGTAGGGAGGCTCCCGGTCGTTAGGGCCTTCAGTCGTTGCATGGTGGTGGTCGGTGGGTCCGCTACAAAGCGAAAGAGTCTCGCGTTTTGGGGACGGTTGGCGAGTAGGTCGCGAACGTACGGGAGTTTGTTGCGGTAGACCGGAGGTGACGGGTCGAGGCTCGCGTCGTACTCTGCGAAATCGTAGCGAAGGGCGTCTATGAGCAACCACAAGACTCTCTTGAACCTCCTGGGGTAGGGGTAGCACGTTCGAGACTCGTCGGGGATTGCCTCTCCGGTCTCATCCGGTTGGGAAGGTGTGAAGTGCCCGAGGGAGCAGTTGCTGTACTCTGGGATGACAACTCGACGCAAGAGAAAGCCTTTGCAGAAGAGCAGGAGGGCCACCGCGTGGCAGACCAATAGTACCAGTAGAAGTAGGCTGCCTCTAGGCCTTGCCATTTCCTCTGCGCCTCTTTGAGCGCTGGAAAGCTAGACCCAACGACCCGACTTTTTTTTAGGTGCGCGTTAGTTAGGAAAGTTGTTGGTGTGCTTTAATTAGAATAGGTCCGTTGGCCACGTGCACTTCGAGGACGAAACCCGTTAACAATGGTGAGAATAGAGCGCTGCTACTTCTGCTCGTCTCCAGTATATCCTGGACACGGTATCATGTTTGTCAGAAATGACTGTAAGGTATGTTATCAAGTTTGTTGTTGAGTTCGTATATTGTGTCGCACGTTTTGTGTCTCAGACGTTTCGGTTCTGTCGCTCCAAGTGCCACAAAGCGTTCAAGAAGAAGAAGAACCCTCGCAAAGCTAAATGGACGAAGGCTTTCAGGAAATCCCATAGCAAAGAACTCACTGTGGTATGTTTCAGATTCGGTTCTCTGATGGACTATACTCTCCTTTACCTTGGCTGGGTCTGTACAGGATTCTGCCTTTGAGTTTGAGAAGAAGAGACACGTGCCTGTCAAGTACCAGAGGAAGCTATGGGAGAAAACAGGTAAGTGTATCATAGTTGCCACACTTATCGTAATGTTGCTGACATTTTTCTGGAGCACAACTCTCGCATTCGCTCGCCAAAAATGCTCATTCTAGTTACACACTTTCTCTGTTGGGCCATATTATATTATGGTGGTGCTTCAGACTCTCCATGCGGGAGGCTCCACTTTCTTGTTGTATTTTCTTCCATCTAGTCGATGCCATTCAGAGGGTGGAAAAGATAAAACAGAGACGCCAGGACCGCTTCGTCAAGAACAGGTCTGTTCTATTTAAAAACCCGTACTATAATGTGTGGCTTGTGTGTGAGTCAATGTGATGTAATTTTTCCCAGGCTGAAGGCAGGCTTGAAGTTGCAAGAGGAGGCGGAAAAGAGGGAAGTGGAACAAGGAATCCATCTACTGCAAGACCCACGAGGTGCCTAGTGCCATGCATGTTTTGTAACCCTTACATTCGAACCGTCCCCGCCCCCCTCCTTTCCCTCTCTGCCTCTAGCCATCACCCAAAAGGCTAGAGAAGCACAGCTCCAGAGACAAAAGGACAAAGACAAGACACCAGCCATGGAGATGGAGACTAATGACTGACCGTCCACTACCAATATTTCTCCCTTGTTGTGTGTGTGTGCCTTTATGTTTGTCAGTGTGTGTGTATGATATCAATAATGCAGCCGTTACACGCATCCAAAGGCCTGGATGAGTGTGTAAAAATGAGACTTCCCACGGCTTTAGCTGGACATGTATTGTGAAACGAGCCCACCTACATGTATGTACATTATATACACACAATTGTAGTTGTCACAATTGCACGGTTTTCGGCTGATGATGCAATGTCATGCACAAACATCACGTACAGCAGTTTGCCAATGCATTGTGCTTAAATAGTGGGTATACACCATGCACGTGTATATACGCACAACTTGTAGCAGAAGGCCTTGACTAAACCCAGCCGAGCCTGAATGAATCACGGTGTGCAAGGCAAGTGCATAAAAATGGCTCAGAAAAGAGCTGTCCTCAACAACCCATGATGCATGGGACACAAGCCTTATTCCGTGGTAGAGTATACTATAGTCGTACTGCGCACCGAAACAGACAAAATTTAAAACAATGAACGAAAAAGTCAAGGACACTATAATTATTATACGTAGGCAAATGAATAAAAAGGCACATGTATCCACAACCACAACAAAAGTCCAACCTTTCCAGACACACACTTGACAAAACTCGATCGTGATAATAATTATTATAGATGACATCATACCTTGTGACATGTCCAAACCCTCTGCAAGGTGCAGCACGACCAATGTAAACACCAGATGATTTTTAAGTAAACAAAACGACAAAAGTAAGATACACAAAGCGACGTACAAATGCATAGCTATCAAATTTACATAAAACATAAATATACACACAAAACATAAAAAAATAGACAAATGCTGTACAAAAAGGACATAGACGGACAAGTTTGTTTGTGGGGAAAAAAAAATGGACTTGCTGTTTTTAGTATTTCACTGGTGTGAGTATGTAGTGAGATGGTGACATTTGTGATGTGAGTGTGAGTGTGACATGTCAGAGCAGGAGGAATAGGAGGAGGGAGGTTGTGAGGAGTGTCGTTGCCAACAGTGATGGTGAGTAGCTCGCTGGAACTGCCGAATTGTTATCGCCATCCCCGCCACCGTTCTGGTTATCTCCTCCTCCTGTGTTTGTCGGTCTGGTGGTTCCTTCTGTTGTTGGTGGGGCTGTGGTGGGCAGCGGTGGCTTTGGTGTTCCTGCCGAGAGAGAGAAAGAGGGTGGACTATAATATAGAACGAATGACACACATTTTTGGCCATGTAGGTGCAAATTGTTTTCAGCAGCAAGATAGACACTGCAACACCTTGCAAGGACAGTCATCCCATTGTCATGAATACCATTATAGACCTTAGGGTACAGGATTTGGCAAGGCAAGGTGGTGTAATACAATACTGCAGTAAACAACAGGCTTCAGCACCGGTAATGGTATTCACAGGCTAAAAATAGCAACACCAGCAATGACATCATCCTGTTTTTCCTGGACTGGGTCCACTCAAGTGTCCACAATACACACACTATCTGATTGAGTAATGTACTGGTGCATGTAGAGACTTGTTTTTCCGAATGGCTACTCTTTCATAATAATATGTCACAGCAACACATGTTGTGAACCCTCAACACTACCACTCTTTTTCACACCCATACACAATTTGCCTCTTTCTGTTAATTTAGCCGTCTGAAACTTGTTTACTCGAATTCTACCACAATTTTAATTTTCTCATTTCCAATACACATGTGCACAAGTGCACAGGTTTTGCATGAAAGGCAAGTTTGGAAACTATTTGGAGACAGTGAAGCATGTCTGTCAATATAGTCACAAGAAATCTTTAAAACTTCAGTAATGGGAAAAAGCAAACTGGAGTATACACATAGCTATAGAGTGCCACGTACCGATTATTTCGAAGTACTGCATGGCGCTATGATCGGCGTTAGTTGTGTCCACCTTACACGCGTACATTCCGACAATGTCCTCTGAAACTGGTAGCGTGAGAACGTATGCGCTGTTGGCAACTCCTTGTTGGTCCAAGTACTTCTTCACCACACTGGCTCCCTTTAGAAACTGGACCGAGATCTGCTCTGCACATGTCTTGACTGAGCACCCGATGGTGATGTTGCTTCCAATGTGGTAGGAAGACAAGTCCCACTGGGCGTCGATTGGCTCTATTGCTACAACTGTAGAGTGAGGGCGGAGGGAGGGAGGGAGGGATAGCATCTCTACTTATATTTTACTCACTGAAACTCATAGCACAACTTAAAAGTCAAAATACACACGCTGAATACGCAAGAAATTTAACTACTTGCACTCGCTTGCCAAATACGTGTTGCATTCGTTCCAGTTATGATATCACACGTAATTGTATCGTACCTTCAGGGTCGACTCTCAGTAGAACCTGGTGTGTGATTGTTCTAGCTCCGGGAGGACTCCCGCGAAGGAAGCACTGGAACCGCTGGTTGTTGATGGCCGGGTACACAGTGATACTGAGGTTGGCCACCCAGTACGGCGGACTTGAATTACCACGACGAAACTCCTGAAGTGTGGAGAGGTTAGATATTAGAGCTTTTCTAAAAACTCTTTGAATTTCACATAACTGCTGTATAGTTGATGGATTTTTCATGGCTTCAAATATAGCCACGTTAAGACCCACAGGACATACATACACACATACATACATACATAATAATGAATAATTAGAGCAAGGTTTTAGTCCCACGCTCATTGGAGTAGCCATCACATGAGGACTGCAAAAACTGTTGTCCTCTACACAAAAGATGTTACAAAAGAAGTTGATAAAAGGGATCTAGACAAGTGTCCTTTATTAATCCTCGCCTGCGCGCAGGTGCAGCGAGGGTTTATTGCAGTCGGTCTGTCTGTGTGTGCCTGTGTGTGTGTGTGTGCGTCCTTCCATCCGTCTGTCCACCGTTTATCTCGGTAACCGCGGCAACTCTGAGCGTGAAACGTGGACATATTATCAAGTAGGAGGCATGCATGGTAAAATAAGATTCTGGAGCGGAGAAGGCCGGGGAAGCTGGTGAAACGGACGGCTGCCGAGGTGAGTGTGCATCAAATAGAGATAGCGGACGATCACTGTACTTAGTGCTCGATGCTTTGCGCGTGTGGTTTTCTGGTGCTGGTGTGTGGAGCTAGGATTTTACTCACCTCAGTATGTGTGCTCAGGTTCTCATTCTCCTCCAACGGAGCCACTGCCCCAAACATTGTCCACTCAATGCTGGTTCCTAACCCGGCACAGGTTAGTAACGCTTGGCAGCCCGTTCTGGTGGTGACAGGACTGGGCGTGTTGTCCACTTCAATTGCTGCGTACGTGGAAATGATGGAAGAGGAGAGGCGAGGCGATAAAGGGAAAAACGTAGAGAGAGTGTGGAAGGGCTTCTTGTGAAATCGCGCAACACATGTTAGAGAACTGTACATTAATGAGCGAAGTCGTCTGAATTAATTGTACAATGTTCTATGCATGAACAAATATATACACCATGTGATGGCAAGAGAAAAAAGATGCGGAGCTCTGGACAGCTGTTTCGTGTCAGTGCTATCCTTACCGTATAATGCTTTACGCATAAATACACGTAAGACCATCGAAATTTCACTCTCGTGATCGCTCGCCAATACTGTTACAGTGTGTACTACTCTATAGAGTTGCACAGTGTGTGCATACATGCTAAAGAAGCATGCATTGTCGGTCACTCAAAAGAGGGAGCCGGCACATACTGCCACACCTTGTCACTCCAGCTTGCCTAACCTCCCATAGTAAACAGTTCCCACATGGAATCCAGCACAGCTGGGATGTCAACATGCACAGTCGTCTCGCAGCACACGTCGTCAGCATGCCTTCTATAGCCACGTAGGTATATAGAGACCCTCCTCCTACTGTGTGCATGCACTAATTGGGCCTCAGTTACACTGGCACTAATAGTTGTGCTGACGTAGGGCACACAAGAAGCATGCAACCATGAAAAACTAAAGACTGGGATGTGCCAACTACAACAGAATGGCCGAGAAACACTTTAAAACATAAACGTACATTCTCGTGGCACTAAGCTTTGTTCCAAAACTCCCCTCCGCATTGGGGGCTGGATACAAAGCTACACACACCATTTTACCACAATCAACCCTTTCTTAACACTTGGCTTTACTACCGAACACTTGGAAAAGGTTTCTGACACGATAAAATGCCGTAGAGAACGGCCTATTATGTGTACCAATCATGTACCTAATACATCAGCTCCACAGATAGGGCCGGCACCAACCACGTAACATCACATGCAAACAGCACAACTCATTGTGTTCCCAGACAACAGAATAGTGCTGCTTGCCAATTGTGGTATATAGCTACAACAGAGCGGCCCACCCCTGGGCGGGCAGTGGCGCTAAGGAGCGACAGCTGATTGACCAAACACACATACACACTGAACACTGCAACAAACACACTGTTGTTTAGCTTACTTACTGTGCTTGTGACTGCACATTTAAGAGCCATCTAGAAAGCGTCCCTGAAAACTGGGACCATTTTTATAGCAGACAAGTATATATACACTCGTTCTTCTTCTACCAAACCCCTTTTGTTGCTATTTGTTCAGAACTAAGAAGTGTTTTAGAGGGGGTAACAAATTCGCTCCTCCTAAAGGTATATAAGACTGTCTATTTTGATAGCCACAAAAGCCACAACACTAGTAGCTAGACACTGGTTTCCCTCCCTTTACCCACGCTTGAACAGTATCAATGACATACCCAGCCAAGCATCTGCAATTGTGTGTGTGTAGGTCTACATAGTACAAGAGAACAATTAATGAGTTAGTCTGGGAGGTGTTTGTGAGTCTGGTGTGTCAGCTGTTCGGCCAGTATCCCAATCAATGGGCCGTGACCAGAGCACACAATACTCCCCAAGTACTCACACATCTGACTTAGCACTAATGGAGAGTAATGCCGTGGAATGTGCAGAGAAAACTGTCCCATTGCGTACAGCAGTGCAAACAACAAGTGAGAGTGTAGTTTGTCTTGTGTTGTAGATTTGAGCCCCTACCTGCTGAGCTGCCCTGCTGGTAGCCTAGTGGGTAGGATGGGTTCAAATCCCAACTACGGCAACTTTTAAGGAGTTGTCTTGGGGTGTAGTTGTGTCGTTTGCTTCGCCTTAGCCTGGCTGCTGACACATGGTGCAGATTATTGTTTATCGATTAGAGGAGTGTGCATGTGCTACAGTGAAGTGGCAATTACAATGATACGCTGACACACCATAGCTAAACACAACGACCTACAACACACCCACACATAACGTCAATCATTATTGCACAACGCTAATAGACTGCAATGATTATGGGAATGAACCTTCAGATAATATCAGTTGATGACACCACACAACACATCAAATATTCATGAATGTGGTATATACCCAGGAAGTGAAAGAACGGCAGGAGTGGTAAGGTGACGTCAAAGTAGGTAGAAGCCAGTACACAAAGTGTGTTTAGAGGTTAAAGGTTAATGAGTCAAAGCATCAGTAGCCTTGGGAACCTATTGTACTGATAGCCTAGCTCTGTGGGAAGTGATGTTTTGATCGGAAATGGAGCCATGCAGACACAGACTCAGACACACTTGAGAAACGGAAATGTTGCTGCGATGCAAACTGTACTGCAAAGACATTGGCCCCACCAAAGACGTGCATGCTGCCCACTCTGTACAAACGGGAGTCCAGCCAACATTTTACACTCGGCACTCTAGATCCCCAACTGTCAACGCAGCAATCATGAACCAGAGCACACACCCACACCCACACCCACACCCACACCCACACCCAACACACCCAACACTCCATGCATACACACACACAAAATGTTACACCAGTACGCCAATCTTCCTTCGCGAAAAAACTGATTGGTGACCAGTGGGGGTTTTGCTTTTTACACTTCCTTGCGCAACGTCACCACCATGGCAACAAAACACGCTGAAAACTATGTGCAAGCTAAGGTCAACGTGTGTACATTGTATCCCGGTCCGCCCACACAGCTTGTCTGGCACAATCATGCACGCACTCACACACGGAGAAACTGCTGAACCGTTAAATTTTGACCCCAAAAAACGTGACCCACTGTAGATGCAAACAACCCTTACTTTGTGCGCGTGTGTGTGTTTTCCCTCCCCCCATAGATTAGTTTCCCACCTAACTATAACATAATGTGTGTACATCAGTTTCCCCACCCTATTATACTGTGTGAGCATACATTATGTGTAGTCATTGCAACGCTGCACCCTGTGTAGGTTTTAGCTACACATCAAAGGTAGTCAAGGTAATCTCGCGGGTCATATATATACATAATACACGTGCAGCAAGTACACACTGACTGCGAGACTGCTACAAGGAAAACGGTAAGCCAGCCAGCTAGGCAGAATGGGGTGGGAAAGAGCTCCTAGTCAAGACAAAATAAACCTCTTTTTGCCAGGAGGAAGCTATAGAAACCTCCCGCCTCAATTCGATATAGTGAAGCTAGGAAATCGAAACACAATAAAGAAATTGTGCAGTTTTGGGACTTTGTAGCGTGGACATGTGGGACAGATGTACTTGGAAACGAAGCACATCCAATTGTGTACGCTCAGACACGTACAGCAAATTACAGTTTGAGCCACTTCGGCAAATTATGCTGCACCTTCTGCCAGAGACCTACGAGGCACTTGAGTGCGAAATCTGCCAAAGTGGCTACTTCACTGGCTCGCACATACACACCAATTACAATCGCACACGGTCACATTACACGAAAGAATAAAGGCACTGCACTACTTTGAACTTAGGTTCCGCCTTACATAAACCTGCATCTCCATACGAGCATTCCAAGGGATTTTCCTTACCAGCACACTCGCTCACAATACACGCTCGCTCACAATACACACAAGCACACAATACACACGTATCACAACTATACACACGTATCACCACTATACATACATATCACCACTATACATACGTATCACCACTATACATACGTATCACCACTATACATACGTATCACAACTATACACACGTATCACCACTATACATACATATCACCACTATACATACGTATCACCACTATACATACGTATCACCACTATACATACGTATCACAACTATACACACGTATCACCACTATACTCAGCTCCCTCTTGTGTTTGTGTGTACAAGTTTCGAGGGTGGTTTGAGGAATGCACACACAGATACACCAGCTGAGCCCCCACGATGCTGCAACTCAAAGCTTTGTCTTTGAGGCACACCACACATCACACAGAGAAGCACCGAGATGCAATGCGTGGGTGAGTATGGACATGTTAAGGACCACTACAAATTCTTTGAAATGATGTTGTTTGAAATGATAGGCTGCTTTCCACGGCATGCATACACACATTGGCAGAGCTGTTCCCAGTGGTGGTAATGCACGGGCCAAACTACCGCCAACCATTGTGACTAATGCCAATCTTCGTGTAAGTTCACTGCATGAGAGCTGGCTGGTCACATTATCATTGTATGACGTGGCTGTTGGCACTCGGCGCTCATCGACGCACACGCAGAAGGCAGTCACTACTCTCAATGAGATTGGAAATTGCACAGTTTGCAATATCAGGTGTAGCCGCGTCCCCAATTCATTTTCTCCTTGTTCACGCGTGTGCCAATCACAACGCCCTGTCTTTCAACAAACGGAGTGCTGGCACGCAATACAGGTGAACCACACTTACCGAAACTATCGAAGGAGTAATCACTCGCGATTCCATAACAGCAGGAGCATAGGTGAGCCAACTACTGCAACTTTTGATGGAAAATCTCTCACAAAACTTGGGTTCGTTTTTGCCACCGAATTACCGGTGTAAGGTGAAAGGAACAAAAAGCCAAAGGTGAAAGATGATGACCGATGCTACTCTATCTCAATGGCATAAACCACTAGTTTTGACAGTGGCATGAGAATGCATGGGATGTACATATATGTACGATGCAGAAAAGGTCACCTTTAAAAAGAACACACCTCATTCCCTGAGAACATAGCACTACACAAAACATTGCAGTTTGGTCTAGGGCTACGACTGGCATAATCAGCATTTTGTGCCCACTACATGCCAGTGGGGTGTATATATAAAGGCTAATTATTGGGTTACTCTATAGTAGAGCACTTGGCGGACAAACACGCTACCTTAGGTCACGCCATTCATTTCTGCTGACAGCAACCACTTTACCAGGCCACTCCCACGACACAATAACAGTTGTATATCTGTAGCTGTTGTAGTAAGAAACAGTTTGGCATTGTAGTATACTAACATACCCCCACCACCAATAAAGTGAGCGGACGCTAAAACCTTTACTTCACTATTTCTGTTTTGGTGGAAAAGCACACGCGAGTGCATGCGGTGTGTGTGTGTGCACGCACACGTACACACCTCATTTACTTTCACGACGTGTATTGTCTCCCGTGAAATGAGGGAAAACGGCACTTCAAAAGTTTTCAAAGCAAACAGCCAACAGCTGATTGAGCAGAATCACATGTTGTTCGTGGACGTCTGCCAAAAACACTCAGTACACAGCGACATACATGGTATGTACCAAGTGGCATGTAGTTGACATGCACGCCCACAGTAATTACAGCCTGCAGAGCGTGGAAGAAAGCGTAAACAGCCTCACATTGAAAGGACAATGGCGTCTCTATACTTGACTGTGTATGGGCAGGAGGCAATGTGGCGTATGCACAGGAGGCAATGCGGTATAATATGCGAACACATATACACTGTCTTTCCTGAGACACATGCAACTTCAATGTATGGGTACGATGGTCTATCTATATACTGAGAATAGAAGTGTTCTTTATTGCATGGATCCATCACACCCATACATTGAATTCCATGAGACTGTCGTCTCGCACAAGACGGTACACTGTGTATGTTCAGTTGGCCCCAAGACACTGGCACGACAGGATGCCAAAGGAGTGACAGCTAAAGCTGTGAGAACTATCAGCATCAACAATCAAGTATCTGCACTTTACAATAAAGCCCTCGGCATCTCACAGGGTCTAAACTACCAACATATGTGGTTGTTCCATGCCGCCATTGAAGCCAATACATTCTCCCGTTTAGCCCCTACGCCACATTAAACACTGGCAAATTGACAAAAAAGTGTGCTCTTATAGTAATTGAGAGGTTTTGCCAATCAAGACGTCACAGCATTTTCTTTACAGGTTATTCCCATTCAGTTGCATCGTCACCACACACACAGTAGGGGAAATTTAAACCAGGAAACATTTCGGTTCATGTGGTGTTGAATAGTAAACTGACTACACAGTTGGGAGAAGTAGGGACAGGAAAGCGAAAAGTGATGGTATAGGCAACAAAATCTCCACAACACATTATGCCTATAGCAACATTTGCTACTGAACTGCTATAAACACGTGTATAGATGTTGATCACAATTGCCTACGCAACACGCTCACAAAACAGATGGAGCAAAGGACAATTATATTGCTACCCACACACACACCTGCTTACCTATAGGGACAAACACATGTTCAATGACACATCTTATGGGCAAACTAACTACAATCCACACAAAACTCTGAGAGTAACGCACGCAAACCGGAAGGATATTGTGTAAATATTGTACGAAGGACTAGAAGAATATTTCCCTATTCGAAAACGACGTCTACATACTCTACAGCCGGTGGTTTTTGGGCACAAATCTCATACCGTGTATATAGTTATGTCACCCAGTGTAACAAGTAATCAGTTATTGCTACATTTACAGCCTCATACACTCACTCACTCACTATGTCACCTGTAAGTACTGGCTGACTGCATTGCTTACGGCAAACTCATGCATTGCAGGGGGTATGGATATAAAAGCCTATCAAATGGTCCACATTAGACACTCACTGTTCAGCTCAGCCAACAAGCACATGTGCCGCACGGGCAGATCTTGACAGAGCAAAGGACACCCAGAGAAAACAGAAGACTAATAATAATATGAGGCCTGGACGCTCACTCAACACACACCTCCCGGCCTCTACAGCTGGTCTTTGGGAGGAGCCAGGTGTAACTGTATATATCCACGATACCACTGTAGTAGAAACTAAACAACGCAGGGTGATCAAAACAAAATACAGCGACTTATATAGAGGGCCAAACAAATTCACTGTGGCGGTGTATATTACACGTCCTTTCTAGTGGTGTGGCTATAAGAATGATGTTGATAATTATTACGTCTGCAGTACTGCGCGCCAGTGTCGTTTGTACAAACAGCTGTTGTGCCAGGCGCCCAGCACCCTTTTATTAATTATTGTAAGGCCCGCCCTACAAGTGTACATGTAGCCACATTAGACACACACTCGTAACCACAAGCAGAAAATGGAGAACTGCTGTACACACATGCAGGCACTTTTCTATATAACACAAAGACAGACCCCTCATGAAAACTTCACACTGTGAGAAAATATTATCTACAAGTTACCAATTTTGGGCTGTTGACAAACTCATTGGGGTACACCCTTACGCGGCCTGGTAAATGCTAGGCAAAAAACACATCGCCGTCTCTATATGGGCGCTGCACAAGAGCCGGTCCCAGCTAGCTCGAGGTGTAAATTGGCAAACGGTGGGTGAGGATCGCAGTGGAAGTGCAAGCGAACGCTGCTAGGCCACTCTGCAGACGCTGCTCACCACTGCACAGCGAGACAAAGGAACGCGGCCAGGCTTCCCGGGTTCTCGCTGTGGGGGTGCACGCCGCCCGCCCGTGCAGCGCTAGCACAGCGCCGGAAAGGATAAGTAGCTCGCTGAAAAACACTCACAGTTGACTTGTCTCCTGGACAATATGACGAGGAACAGAATCTTGCAAAGAAAAGTCCCTGACATCGTTGGTTGCTGCAGTTAATTCTCAGTAAGTGAAAACAGTCATACAGCTAGCTTTCTCACAGCTGTAAGCCTCTCGAAAGCGCGCATGCGCGCTTATCCGTCTAATTGTGACGTCAACTTCTGTCCGCATTTCAAAATCGGCGCGCGCAAGGGTCCGATTCGGGGTATATACTCGTGAGCTTCCGGTTTGGGTTCGGGACGAAGCAGGTCACAAGCACAAGACGGCGGGGAAGAGACAAAAAGGAGGGGAGTCTTAGATCGCCAGAAATTGGGAGAGTGGGATCGCCGTTGTCTCTGTTCGGGATATAGGGCAACTAGAATAGATTGGGCCCGTGAAGGTGAGTCTTGGTCGCGCTAAACGCTTAGCAAAGACGCTAAAGGTCGAGGGCACACACCGTTCCACTATGGTTCAGCTGTATGTGTTAGAGTAGCAGTGCTAGCTCCGTGCGGACCGCTACAGGCTACAAACATACTCAGCTAGAGGTGCTGCATCTGTTGCATCGTCTCCCCCCCCCTGTGGGATGTAGGAAGCATGATTGTAATGTTGACATTGCTCCTCCATCTCCCCCCCCCCCTTGCCCCAGATGGTACCCAGACTGCTATTCTCTCTGGTGTCCATGCTGCTCCTGCTAGTGTCCCTGTGGACCGGAGCATATGCCCTTGACACTACACTAACTGGTACGTATGTAAGTACGTAATATCACGTGTTATACGTACTCTGCTGGATAAGGTGTACATCCATTCCATTCCCAACTACTCTGTGTGAATGTTTTTTCCTTCACGATGCAGTCTGTAGTGTAGCATTTTCGCTAGCTAGTATATACAGATATCCTAGATCGTCCTGGAAATCAGTAGTGTGCGTATGTGTCCCAAGAGTTCTTGAAAATATTGGTTGGGGGAGTATGTCGTGCAAAGTGCTATTTCCCACTGTATTGGCATGTATTAGTAAATGCTGTCTGTGGAACAAGCAGCATCTGCAAAAATAAGCATCATCTACTACATATATACTACATATATAGCTATATATGTAGTAGACTCTGTCTGCCACGCCCATTTGCCTGCCACGCTGAATGCTGTGCTTACATAGTACCAGGAAATCCATGCAAAGTCATCAGGGGATATGGAGATAGAGGTTGAACGTATAATTGTTATAACCTTTGATAGTTATTATAATGCAATAGTACTTGTGGTTTTACTCCCCAGAAAGGAAAGGGTTTGAAGGTTTGCACATGTGGCCTGGCAGCGTACTAAAGTCGTGAAAAATGCTGTCATAGTTTCACAAAACTCTGCAAACTTCGTGCTACTCCTGTAGCAATATTATCAGTGGTTTCAACCTTTGGCACAGTCCTCTTAGTTTAGCTGTATAACTGCTTTAAAGCTCTGTCGGTTCTCCCGAAGAAACACGCACAGATGTGATTGCCACAAGGCCATTAATTAGTACAATAATATTGGTAGGGTTAATATAAAATCTTGCTGCTTATGGAGACAATGGACACATTTATGTGTCCATTGTCTGGTTAAGTGTTAAAACCACCGAAGACCCACCCAGCATGCATCAGACAGGGGAATAGTGGAACTAGTAAAGGATGTTGTAGTGTTGATACAGCCAGTATTGAGCTGTGGAACAGGGCATGTGCAGTTGGTAACCAGGAAGTCGTGTGACCATGCTGTCTACAAGCATGCCTAGATGTGTATATATATACTGTGTTGTATGTACCACAGCTTTATTGTACATATAAGTCTACGGCTTGTTGTGATCATGATTTTCACTTCAGATCCATAAGTGTGTGTATGTGTGTACGTCTGTGTGCTAACAGCTGAGTGATTGGTCTTGGTGCAAGCTATAATTGTTCGATTCACATCTACACAATTATAGTGCCACTGGGGGTGCTAACATACTATGGACTGTCTTGATGCTCAGTACACTTGATCTAGCTTTGTGTGTGGGGACATAGTTATATTGTGCTAATGATATACTTTTAAATGTTATGGCTAGTATTCACCTTGTAAAGTCATTGGCTACATGTAATGCTCTAATGCACTGGCGCATTTTGTTTTCTTTGTCCGGTGTAAACTGTGTTGGTGTATTTGTGTTATTCAGCGGTGCAATGATGTAGTAGTGATGTAGTAGTAACATCAATTAGTCCTCTGTGCAATGTGGGTATTGTATTCATACCGGTAACATCCTGGGTACGTATCCTGGTTTAGTTGCTTATCTTACTCTCTGGAGTAACAACAACTCTAGCTGAAACCAAACTTCCTGAACCCAAGGAAAATTCCACAGGACATCCATCACCTGGGAGCCTTACTCTTACTCTTAACTGATTGGTCGATTCGAAATTCAAAACACTGAAGCGTGTAAGGATGGACGAGATGACTTTGGGAGGGGAGTGGTGTCAACTGTTGTTTGGTTGTCAATTGTGGGCGTGGCTCTAATGCACTTGTGGTGTAAGAGTACATGTGTTCAAAGTTGGCAAGTGTACAGGTATGCTCCAGCCAGTGCAAACCTGTCTTCTGGTATATACATTATACTAATTGAAGGACTGCCCTTTGACGTGGGCTTACTCAATTGCTGGTCTGCACTACAGTGGGTGTGAATGTCCAGTTATAATTAGGCTTTGCATCTTGCCTGAACAAGTTTTTTTAAAATTTTATATACTCCTCAATAGAAAAGAGGTGGAGCTGAGAGTAAATTGCGACCTATGGGGTATACTTACATAATGAACGCCGGTGGAGTTGTTGTCTACAAGTTGTATAGGATGAAACAATCAATCATAGGTATATATAGAGATGAAGTAAGCTACTAAACTAAACAAAAAGCGAAACAAATACAGTCTTCTGCCACAGTAGTCATTGGCCGCCACAGGCTGGCAAAACCACCACCAGATCAATTTTTGTGTCGTTATGCGCTTCATTTCTTTATCTACTCTCTGGTCATAGTCTTGGGCTATATTTGGCAACCCACCTTTGCCAGAACCTTGTTCTACCACACAACCTTCGTGTAGCACTATATTCTTCTTCCGGTACAAAACCTTCCTCACTACACAAAAATCACTAAAAAAATCTCACATCATTATTGTCTCTGTTGTTCCACACATTACACTGTATCACTCACACTGTGCAGTTGACCTCAATGACGACGAAGCTAGGAACAAGGAGTTCAGAAGAGCTACTCCGGTCTGCCACGTCAAGTTCATACTGCCCACCGGATACACACTCAGTTTTGGGGTTGGTTCTACATTTAAGACTAAGTTTGGAACACGAATCTGCTCGTGAGCATAATTTTCTTAGCTCGTAACCCGTGTTCACAACCCTCTTCTTCTTATGGCATACGATGTCATATTTTGTGACTGAAAACCTAGTCTTAAATGAAGAAACAGTGAGTGACATGAACAGTGTGACCATTTTACTGCCCTACTGGTGTTTGCATATGCACATTGTTCGAGTGCGACAGCACTGTACTGTTAGACAGATGTCTATATGGGAAAATCGTTCATTCAGGGAACTAATTTGGCTGGCTTTACTCACCAATTACTCTAGAGACGAAGTTGGCCCTGAAGATCGTTTAACAAAGCTACCACTACATTCTAGGGTTTATTACCCACTTATTTCTCCCTCTTTTTAGTGGAATAAGTATTGGATTTCTAAGGCCTGAAGGTATGCCAAGGGTTAAGCGTAAGGGACAAGCCTAGCAGTTGAGCCTAAGGGCTAAAAGCATTGGGGTTAAGGCCAGAGGGTCCAGCCAATATTAAGTTGATATTCCATGCCCATGTGTATAATACGCATACCCTTTCTCTCCCAGGAACTAACATTGCCATGTAGCGAGGGAAGCCAAAGCTGCACGGTGGCCAGGAATGATGGCGCCACACTAAATGTCGTTGGGTTGAAGGACGATTCCACCGAGCGTTTCACTTTCAACATCACCTTTGACCGTGAGTCAATCACCCCCAGTGCATGAAAACATGAAAGTAGCAAGTACAAAACTCGTACTACCCTATAGCTAGTTCGTATAGAAGTGCAGTGAAACTTTAGAACACTCAACATTTCAACCTTACGGTCTTTTTCAACTGTGAAGGAGATTACAAATAATTATGTGTTCTGTAGTAAAGGTTTATTGACCAACCATAGACAGAGGTACGTACTTCCATATACAAACAGCTCTGGGTATTGCAGTTGTCTATAGCGGTAGGTTAGCTGTTGTTTTAGCTTCTGCAAGTCTACCTACCTACCTATATACCATACTGATCATACTGATAGTGAAGACACATACTGTATATACTGATAGTGAAGACACATAGACAAGTGCAATCAATGACCTTCCCCCTTCCCCTTCACCATTCCACTCTCCCTCCTCCTCTTCCTCCTCCTCCTCCTCCCATGTGTCTCTCCAGCCAACCGGAAGATAGGGTGCAGCAATTACCTCCCCAACATGAAGTTTGTTCGAGGCACGGGCTCGATGCCAATCCTCTGCGACCCTGTATTCTCCTGCAACTACTCCTCCAACGACTCTGCAACCAGTGTGGACAGCAGTAGTGTTAGATGGTGGAGGTTTGCCAACGCCTCTGACCTCCAAACCTTCCTAAATTCAAGCTCGGCGGAGAAGTCGGGTCTTCAAATTGTGGATGCTAATAACACCGAACCTCTGCGAGAGGCAAACAACACGCTGTTTGTCAGCCTTGGAGCTGGTGTATTTGACGTGTTGGGTTACTTTGCGACCACCTTTGACCTCGACGGAGAGGAACTCGTGAATGGAGACACCTTCATAATCTACTGTACGTGAGAAAAATCTACTATGTATGTATATGTATTTTGCTAGCAAATACTGTTTTGGTAGACATTTTATGGGTTTTGAAGATACATACATAAATATTTAAAAAAATCCCTAACCTGTCGTACCGACTGGTACATGTATACACATGTGCCGCTGATTTGCCTCCTATTAAGGCTGTGGTGTATGTGCGTAAATAGCTGCCTATCAAACACATTATGCGGTACACGGCTTTTTCGCATTCCTTCCGTCTGCAGTAAATCCTGAAGGTGGCCAGTCGCCGGGTGATCAAGAACTCATATTCGGAGAAAGAGAAACAAGGTGGGTACTGTAATAGGTATGGAAGCCTGTTTACAATGGCTGCTGTCTGCTTTCAAAACACAAAACACATTTGCAGAAACTTTGACAAGATATTCTGCAGTTTCACTTCGTTTCCCTACTCCACCGTGCGGTGGGAAGGCCCCGGGAGCAACTTCACCACACAAGACACAGGTTTGTACATACGTACATAATGGGGAGCTGCTAGTAGCTATAGGACCTTGATATTATAGATATTTGCACCCTGCCAATTGCTTGCACAGTGGAACCTCTGAACAAGGGAGACTACAGGGCAACAATTTTATCCCTTGTAGAGAGGTTGTCCTTATCTCGGAGGTCAAAATAAGTATTAGCATGGGGTTGAAGCAAGTGCCCTTTGTAGAGTTGAAACAAGTGTCCTTTGTAGAGAGGTCGTCCCTACGTATCTCAGAGGGTCTCTTATCTGATCTTCCACTGTATTTTGTTCCACAGGTACAGCCCTGGTGCTGGAAGAGGTGGAGGGTGATGAGCGGATGTCAGACCTCACTCTGGAGGGTCGACTGGTGATCACGGAGGTCCAGTACGAGGATGGAGTGGAGATAACCTGCATTGCCACCCACAGCATCTCCGGTGCAGAGGAGTCTATCACTGTCAGACTTAGAGTCAGAGGTATATACAGAGAATGCAAGTCGACGTGATTCACTGTTTCTTTTGATTGGCACTCGGGTGCAAATCATACAAAGATATCGCTGTTTTGAGGGCATTCGTGTTGCTGTCAACTTTTATTTCCATTAGTCAAACCAGGACAAAATTCAACAACCAAGCTCTTTTCTCACCTACATATCTTATCTTTTTTATTGGCACGTGCAGCTAATATTTCACTGGTTTTCATGTGCCCTTTTTTTCACTAATGACTATATAAATGCTCTTTGCTATAGAGAGGTATCCTTCAGTCATTGGAGGTTACACTGGTCATACTGTTTCTTCTGCAGATCCGCTGCGACCTTTGTGGCCATTTCTCGGCCTCCTCGGTTCGCTCATCATCACCTTTCTGTTCATATCTGGAGGAGCTCTGGTGGACAAGATCCGTGGGAAACAAGGCGTAGACGACGATGATGGTAAGGCTGTGCGTTTGCTGGTGTTTGGAGGGTCTGCAACACGGCCAGCCTGCCTTCCTGCGAGTGTAGTGTTGCATCTACTGCATGCTTCTTCTTCTTCTTTTTAACCTCCACGCTGGGAGAGTAGCCATGTATAAACCAAGGTAAAATGCAGTACGCGCTGCTACCGCGCACGCTTTTGCTTCCTAGTAAAGAAGGCAAGTTAGAGAATGCATTGTAGCTTGGCTGAAATATGCCTCTGGTTCTTGTTAATAAGCCTGTAAGTGGGTGCACAGCAATGTGGCAGGTTCAAAGATTCACTGCAGTAAACAAATTGCTTCTGTTTGGCATTCTGTGTCGTAGTACCTCTAATTCTGTGTGTGTCTGTGTGAGACTGTTGGGAAGAAAGTTTCAGTTCTCTCTATCGGCTCACTGGTACCGCTCCCTGTCCTCTCGGGGGTCTTTTCTCTTTACGATGTTCAGTTCTGTTCCCGATTTGGTGAAGTGTTAGTGTCTGTGTAAGGTGCTATTTTGTCTACGAGCCTCTGTGTAATGCTTCTGCGCTTTTCGGCGCCCGTATTGCTCTTTGTGGTCCGGTGGTTAGGCATGCATTATAAGTCTCGTTTCTCTGGTATGTCTCGCCTGAACCGCCGAGGCGATTCATCATCGTCGTTGCTGCACCGGTAATGCCACGAAAAACCGACAATTCGCGCATGGGTGGTCTCCGTCTGCGATTGCTCGGCAGTGGGTCTTCGTAGTTTGAATTCTGAGCTCGACTCGGGCCGGGTCGTCTTGATTTTCGCTCTCGTTCCGTGACGGGCGAAGTTGTCCCGGTTGGCCCGATTGAGCCGGTCGCGTGGGCCGCGGGAGATCGGGCGTTGCTGTAAATTGGCCCCTGTCGCTTGGGCCCGGCCCGGTTTTCCATCCCGCCGGTGTGGTTCGGCCCGTCAAGTGGCCTCTCGAATCCTCCCCCGTCGGACTTAGATTTCGTTCGCTTGCTGGGCTCTACGTAGCTTGGTTCAGCCGGCGTGTGGCCGGTGTGGTCCGTGAGTCCGCGGGGCTTTCGGCGCCGCGCGGGCCGGTCGGTGTGCCCAGCTCGAGGCCTTTTTCGTCCAACGTGTTTCCGCGCGGCCGCCCCGTACTTATTCCCGCGCTAGTGGCCCGTGCGAGCCTTCCCGCGGCTTTTTCGTCGGCGGATGCGCTGCCCGCCTTTGACGGCTCGGATGCTCCGGTGTCGCGGGGAGATTCTTGGAGGTCGCGTGTGACCTTGATCGTCGGACCCGTCTGATGCGGCGGCCGCCTATTAGGCTCGGCGCCCCCGCCCGGCGCATTGTCCCCGGCGATCTCGGCGCGGTGGGTGAGGGTTTGTCGCGACTGCCCGGAAGTGCGGTTGCGCGCCGGCAGGCCGCGCGCTGCATATCGCGGGGCGCTGTCGCTTCATGTCGGATTGCGATTTGGCGCGCGGATGCCGATTCAATCCCCGGTGTGTTCGGCGCCCCGGCCAGCTCGCGGCCCCGTGGCCGCTGATTTCGGCGCGGGCGATCGGATTGCCAGGGCGGCGGTGCTGAGGGATCCCGGTACGACTTGACTTCGGCTTGTGAATCCGGCCCGGAGCCTTGCGCGGCCGCTGCCGCGTGATCCCATTTTCGCCGTGTGCTTCGCCGCGTGGCTTCGTCGGGTGATCGTACGCCGCCGGGCGCTCGCGGCGGGTGGACCGATGGTTGTTGGTTGGTTGCCTCGAGCGCCGATTGTGGCGACGCACGCCGTGTCCGATAGCCCGACTCGTCGCGCTTCTTTGGTGTCGCGCACGGTAGCGGCCGGGTGTGCTACCCGGCCCGCGCCTTCGAACTGGGAATTTCGCGGTCGGCGCGTTCGGCTCGGGCGATTGGTCTGGTACGTCGCGAGGTATCGCGCGGGCCGATGATACGGGTCCCTAGCTATTTGTTTAGCTGACCACAACGTGCCGGCAAACCGAGATACCTTGTGCGCGGGGAAAAGGCACGACGCTGCTGTACAGCGCAGTCCCGGCGACTCGGTCTAGTGGTCTGTACAGTATGTGTGAAGCTGATGCACGGGGGGGCTTGGACTTGCGCGCACTTTCGCAGGTGCGACCGCGAGAGCCGCGAGGCCGCTATCAGTCCAGCTTCACGCCATGCTCGGGTGACATTTGTTGCAGCCCGGTGTGTCGACAATTTCCCAGACGTAGCGACTCTTGTAATCTTATGTTACAGACAACGTTGGTTGTTAGTTGTGGTCTTACAGGGAGCTCGGTTTGTGGTACGTTTTCAGCATCCATTATGTTGGGTTTCTGTGTTGGCGTGGCGCTCACTTCCTCGGTTATCGGTGTGGCGGAAATTGTACCGCGAGTGGCAGTCTCGGTGCCGTTTGAGGTGCTCCTGAGTGTTGACTCGGGTTCCCTGTGAGGTTATATACACTGGGGCTCGGCGTGACATTGTGGTTTGGTTAGCCTTACGCGGGTGTGGTGCAATGTGCCCGTAGAGTTGTCCAAATGGAGCGTTTTGATTCCCATTGAGAGTGTGTGGTTTGCGGTACCTTTGGAGAGGTTCAGGTTTGGATTTAGTGGCAGCCGTAGCTGTTCCGTGGGGGGGCGGTGCTTAGCTAACATTAATATTCATTGTTGGGTCATTACAATGTCTTTTCAGTCTCTGGAACATGGAAGATTCAATATTCAACAGAGTCTGACGATGCTTGCAGCTGGCGTGCCGACTCGGG